GGGCTTTGACTGGGCTGGCAGCCTCCAGGCTGACCCCGTCCTTGTGTTTGGACGAAGTAAGGAGGCCTGGAACGTTCTCTCATGTCGGGCTCCTCCTGTACGAGAAACCTGAGCCCGAGGAAAGGGTCCTCCAGAGAGCGCCCCTCGCCAGGCCTCCGTCCTCCTGGCGCCTCCCGTCCTTCTGCCTGTCTTCTCCCCAGGACATCCTGCCCTTGGCCTTGGGTGTGATCAGCGTCCGAGCCCAGCCCAGGCCGCCCTCAGCCACTTGGCCCTGGGTCCTCTGCTCGGCGTCCACACCTCCATCTCCTGGGCCCGTGGCCCCGGGCCCCACACCCGCCGCAGCCCCGCGCAGCTCTCAGGGCTCCCCTGACGGGAGAGGGGCATGAGGGCGTCCTCAGCCAGGCTGTGGCGCCCAGCCAGGCAGGGGGCAGACTGGCGGCAAACACACGACGTCCGTGCGTCAGGGAGCGACTTTGTACAGGAAGGCCTCCTCCCTCCCTGTCCAGTTAGGGCAGCCGTTCCTCAGGGCAGAACATCTGAGAAAATTTAAAACCCAGAAGACCAGACGCACGCGGAGTTCCCCTGCAGAGCTGAGCCCGGGACCGCTGGGCCGCGTGGCCCTGACTGGCGCTGTGTGTCTGGGGCCGCCATGCCAGTGCTGGGGAAAGGGCTGCTTGCCCAGAGTGGTGGCCGTTCCGTGTCACTGTGCTCACATACGTGTGGCCGCGGTCGGAACACGGAGCCGCTGCCCTGCTTCCCCCTCCCGTCCTGTAACTGCAGGCCTGCAGCGCGCCCTCCCGTGACCTGCTCCCTGGGCCGCCCGGCAGGGCAGCCGCACTGGGCTCCCTTTGCCATCGGCTGTCTGAAAGCAACCCATTTACAGATGAACCCAGGGAGCCCTGCCCGTCTGCCAAGTGAGGCCCAGTCCTCGGTCCCCTCCAGCTTGAGTAGCCCTGGTGCCTTCCAAACAGCTGCATGATGGGGGGCGGGAGGGGCCGTCGAGGTGGAGCTTGGGGTGCCAGAGGAGGGGGCGGGGGGATGGGCCGGCCCTGGACTTGTCTTCATTCTGTGGCCTTCATTCTGTGGTGGTAGTGGCTTAGCTGATGTGTGGCTGTTAGCCGGGGCAGGGGAGGGCCAGGTTTATGTTTTGGGACGCGCCCTCTTGCCGGACGGGCGGGTGCAGCAGGCAGACCTCCGGGTGATGTCCCTCAGCAGGGGTGACGGCCCTCGGGCAGGGGATGAGGTTGGCACTCTGAACAGAACCGCCTAAGAAGTTCAAGTGTCACCAGCTTGTCCAGCCTGTCGCCTCGTGGCATTTGCCTGCGGTGTCCGCGCTGGGTGCTCACAAAGTGTTAGGGAGAGTGTGTCCGCCACATCTGCCCAATGCGAGGTTGGCTGGAGAGGGTTCTCTGTGTTATGTTGATGAAGCCAGATCAGTGTGGGCTGGGTCTTGAACCAAAGCACTTAGATTGTAAACAGAGAAAAGTAGACACTGAGGGGCAGACCTGGGGGAGACAGGTGTCACATGGGGGTCGCCTGCCAGCCAGGTGACCAACAAGGAGGGGACATGCCGAGAGCCCGGGGGGGACTTTTCACCCCAGGGCTGGGGGACAGTTCCTGCCTGAGTCCCCACCCGTGGCATTCCTGTAATATCGGTGTTTGAGAAGACCCTAACTCTTGACTCCCCCGTGACTCTCATTTCGCCCAGAGAGGTGGACGCGACCCTCAAGTACCTGAGGCTGCACTGTGGTGCCCGGAAGCTCGGCCTCGTGGGCTTCTGCTGGGGTGGCGTGGCCGTCCACCACCTGATGGCAACACGCCCGGAATTCAGCGCTGGGGTGTCAGTCTACGGTAAGTCTGCCCTGGCGAGTGAAGGGACGGGGTGGTGACGACCGGCGGCCCCTCCTCCACAGTGCAGAGACCCCATGCTGGGAAACGTGAGCAGAGAGCTGGGGGGCTCTCACCACAGGGTGCCTGGGGACTGGGGCGTCCGCCAGCATGACCTGGAAAGGTCACACACCCCAGGTCTCCATTGCTTTTCTTGGGATGAAGGAGACAGATTTAACTTTCGTTTCTGTGATGATGAATGCCAGGCAGTATCTTATGAGCAACAGATGTGAACATCGCTTTGCAAGCTGCAAACTGTTCACCGTGCATTCATGCGTGTGCTCACACACGTGTACATGTACATATGCACACTTGTGCCTGTGCACACGCATGTGCATGCACACACAGGCATGTGCACTCACAGGTACACACGCACACACACGTGCACCTGCACACACGTGCACACAACAAAGAAGGGGGAAGGGGAGGAAGAGCCCATTGTGCAGTGTGGACAGCAGCCACGGAGCTCCGTCCACACCGCAGGTGCCTCCGGGGAGCAGAGCGGCCCGTGGGTGCGCGCCACCCTTAGGCGGGGGCTGCCGCCCGGACCGGACTGGGAGCCCTCGGGCCTCCGGCACAGCCGTTCTGAGGCCAGCTGCTGCTCTCTGTGGGACGTGATGGTGGCCGCCTGTGGGCCCCTCACACACTTTTAGCATTAAGAAAATGGAAGCCTTAAGATTGTTTCTGGGGACGGGATTGTGGTGCTGGCCGCCCAGCATGATGGATGTGACCACAGTAAATGGTGGGATCAGCCACGGTTACGTGACACGTGCGCAGTAAGTACACATAAATCCAGTGGAATCGCAGAACGAAGCGGGATGCGGGAGCCCCGTGACAAGTACATGCTGCTGAGATCAGCAAGCCTGTGAGTGTGACGTTAGGTGCTGCTGGGCCCGGTGCATCTGAGGACAGTGGGGCTGCTGGGGGCATGGTTGTGAGGGTATCCGTGAATAGTGAGGGTTCATCACGTGTGACAAGTGCGTCGTGAGAGAAGGCCGGGTGGAAACTCTCAGGGCCTTGGGGACAGTTTTCTGTCGACCCACCACTGCTCTAAGTCAGTCTGTTGTTACGTGCTGTCAAGTCAGATCTGACCCATAGGGACCCCTCCTTGGGTTTCTATGGCAGTAGATTGCCCAACCTTCCTTCCGAGGAGTGGCTGGTGGGTTTGAACCGCCAGCCTTCTGGTTAGCAGTCAAGCGCCTCAGGCATTGCACCACCGAGGCCTCTGGGTCAGTCTACGGCCGGAGATAGAGGAGCCTGCAGCCCCGCGTGGTGGCCCGCCGGCGCCCCCGTCTGGCCGCTGCCTGCACTCGCGGCTCAGAGCCGGTCCGGGACGTGCGGGGACCCGCTCCGGGAGGCCAGTGCCGTGCGTGCCGTGCCTGGCTCCGTGCCCCGTTCACCTGCCCGCGGGCTCCCGCAGGTGCCCCAGTTTCTCCACGGATGCGGGTGGAGCACGCTTTCCTAGGTTCCCCTAAATGACCCCTGACCTGCGGACGGAGGCCGCCAGCCGCCCTGGCCTGTGGGCTCCCGGGAACGCAGTGTGCGGGCCTGGAGAGCTGCTCGGGCTGCCCCGGCTCGGGCGCCCGGCCCTCCCTGCAGGCACATCCCTGAAGGAGCGTGTCCCGGCTGGTGGGTCGGTCCCCCCAAGCGGCGCGCTCTCCGCCGCCATTGCTGAGGGGGCGCTGGGGCGCGGGGTCTGTGCACGGAACCGCTGCCCACATTCCTGGAAGGCGCGAACCCGGCTCCCGGCCTTTCCCGGGACGGCGTCTGATCCGTCCCCGCCCCCCTGCCCAGGCCTCGTCCGGGACGCCGAGGACGTGTACGGGCTGCAGGCGCCCACGTTGTTCATCTTCGCGGAGAACGACGCGGTGATCCCTCTCGGGCAGGTAGGTGGCGCTCAGCGCGCGCCGCGGGGGCCGCCCTCGGCCCGGGCGGCTGCGGGCCGAGCCCCCATCCGGACGTTAAGGGCGCGAGGGTGGGACTGAAGCCCCGCCAGCAGGCAGAGCCGGGCTGCCCCCCACCGGCCGTCTGCACGAGGCCTCCCGCGCCCGCGCCCGTGAGGGGTGCTGACGGGCCTGCAGCTCTCGTGGGGTGCCTGTCGGCTGTGGCCTTAGCAAGAGCTCTGCACGGTCCATGAGGGTGGTGGGGGAAACGTACGTTTAGAAAGGGTTCTCGCGACTAAGAATCCACCGTATCCGTTAATGCAAACGGCTTCAAACACGGCTGCTGGGGTGTTACTGTCCCTCAGGCAACGCTCTCGGTGCTAGAGCTTAGGGCTGCTGGTGAGGGAATAAAAAGTGGGGAATTCCGTGTAGCCACGGAAGGCTTTATGATTCAAAGCAGTGATGTGGAATCTTCTTTATTTTTATCATGGTGGCGATGGTGTTACTTTATGAGCATGTACAGGCGGTTTGGAGAAACATTAAAACCCAACCCCCTGGCCTGGAGTAGACTCTGAAACCCAAGGAAGGGCTGCTGAGTTGAATCTGACTTAATGGCAGTGAGTTTGGTTTTTAGTTTTTTTCTCTTAGAAGCTCTGCCCCTAGAGGACAGAGTGGAACTGCCCACAGGGTCTCCAAGGCTGTCAATCTTCACAGAAGCAAAGCCCAAACCACACCCACTGCCTAGAGTCCATTCTGACCCACAGCGCCCC